AAAAAAAAAAGACTAATTTTTCAGCCTCTGTGGTATTTCTTGGTCTTTCTTTTATGCTTGTATCATATTTTCAAGTAACTTTGAATTCATTTTTATCTCAGAGTCTCTTTTCTCCAATGGCTACTTTTAATTAGGGTTTCCTACAAGCCAGATCTGAGCCCTGAGGGTATAAATTAATATGTCAAATTACCCTCCTTAAATATAATGACAGTTTGTGCTTTGGAGTGTCTGACATACTGATGGCTTGATATAAAAGATTTTCATTTTATCTAACCAAATTCAGTGACAAAATGCCCAGAGCCTGATAGGCAAAAGAATACATAGCTAGTTTTCAGTGAGACTGTTTATATTTGAGAGAGAATGTATAGGTATTTGCACTGACCCAGCTCCTTCTCTGCAAGATTCAAATGGTGAAGGAAGTCAATATGTGGAAAAAAGGTTTTAATTGATCATGATCAGAGTATTCTGTTTCTGGGCATTTCATTGCATTCAGTCCATGCCAAGTTGTGGGTTCAAACCAGCTCTAATTTACACAACTATACCCAATCATTTAACTAGATTCCCAAAGATATGAGGGGAATTTTAAGATAATTATCACTTTCAACTACCTTACACATGTTATTCTAGACTTTTCTCTTTCATGTATTTCAATACTGTGTTGTACAATACTGACAAGAGGCTTGAGAGTCTAATAAAATTATCATTAGTGACATCAAATAATAGTGTAGAGTATAGTACATTTGTTAATGGCTTTATGGTCCCTAAAATATTGGCTACATGTTGACATTAGGTAGTCTTACTTTTAGGATAATGAAAATAGAGGCATATTAACACATGATTTGATTCTAGATATGGTTCTAGAATCATGTCACTCTTTTAATATGCATATTGATCTAGAGTAGAATGCAAAAAGTCATTGTAGGATAGCCTAGCCCAAGCAAAGAAAGTATATCAGATAAAATTTCTGAGATTTATATAATTTGGTAATCAATATTTAATAAAGGATAAAAGATATTGACAGATTATTTGAAGTTGGTCAACTCACCACTAAAAATGCTATAGTTTTAGCTCTATTTGTTATATTTTATTTTATTACAAAAGGAAAAACTATTTAGCATGTCAAACAATAAATATATAAAGATAAAGTTAATTACTTCACTTTAATTGTATGTCCCTGCTGTAGTCATTATATAACCCATTGATATGCTCAGCATTTCCACCTGACTCCCTATGCCCTGAGATTTTTTAATGTGATTTTTTTCTTAATGCCACTTTTTTACAACACTTTAGAGTTATAAGAGATTTGGTGATTATCTAGGGCGAATTCTTAAGAATGAGGAACTGAGATCAAGAAAGTTTACTCTCCAAAATCATCAAGTGATTTAACCTATTTCTAAACACTGCTATTCTAGCAATAAAAAGTTTACATAACCTCTCAAAGCACTTTGGCTCAAGAGCCGGGTAGACCTGGATTCAAATCCCAGATTCATCACTTGGAAGTAAGGCTTTGGAAAGAGTCCTTAATCTTTTTGAGTCAGAGTGGCTTTGACTAGAAAATGACCATCATTATAATTACTTCTCTTGGGGGAAGATATTGGAAAGATTTAATGAGATAATTTTTGTGACGTTAACAGCCTTGTGGTGACTGGTACTCATAGATATTGAATAAATGGTTGTTCCCCTTCTAAGCTCTTATGTCCAGAGATTTACTCTAAGTTCTAAATTCCTCTATGTCTTCACCTACATTTTATAAAGGAAGCCCAACTTTAAAAGTCATTCAACTGAAAAAATCCCAATACCTTTTTTAAATGTTCTACTTATCTATGTGTAGTATCTATACCTAAATAAATATCAGCCATAATCTATCTTCTTCATTATCTTTTAATTCAGCTTGCAAGAGACATGTAACTAATTTTTGAAGATGTATGGAACTTTCACATAATAACCTTGACATATTATTTAGGAGGTTATATTATGAGATATGTTTACATATCATATATTCATCCAACAAGCATTTATTGGACTGTTTAGGATACAGGATACTATAGATGTACTTACATTGGGAAGTGAGATCTCTTGAAGGCAAAATCTCCAAGCACAAGAAAAGCACACACAATATAGAGAGAAAAGGGTGGGGTTGGGGGAGAGGAAGCAGTCTAAGATAAAGTAGATGATTGTGAAGCTGAACACAAAGGAACTGTGTTGTTAAAAGCTTGTCAACATGGTATGAGTTTGGTCAACAAACTTTGTTTTTCTTCATGATGGTCAAAGTTGGGCCTATTCTTAAAGAAGTAATTAAAATTGATCTGGGGAGATTAAAATTCCAAAGAGGAGACTGCTTGAGCAAAATCAGAGATTGAGGTGAATGAAATCTGCAAAGCAAGGGGAGAGATGAGAATAACAAGAAGCTAGATCTTATGAAAATGCAATTACAAGGAGAGAAGTAAAGTTGTATCTGTATTTTGGACAGTGGAGAAAGGAACTTGAATACTGGGCCAAAATATTTATAGATTCAGTCTGAAGAATAAAGGAATAAAACCTAAAGAATAAAATGCATGTTGTTGTGCATAGAGATGACCTAGTTAAATGTGTTTTTTAAACAAGATCACCTTGTAGTCAAGTATAGAATTGACTAAAAGGTGAAAAGAAATTAGTGGCAGGGGAGATGGGGTTGCTGCAGAAAACAAAGAATGAGATGACCAGTATGCACAAGAACAAAAACATTCAGGACAGTATTTAGGATCAAAATCTCAATTCCCTGGTATAGTCTAGGTTTTACTCATCAACCTCTCCAGGGATCTCTGAATCTCAGTAACTCTCTTCCCTATGTGCTGGTAGATGCTGTCCCACAGTTTTCCATCATTGCACACCTGTGTATATCCTACTCAATGACTTCAAAACTCCATTTAAATGCCATTTCCTCTGTAAAGCCCTCTCTGATTGTCCTACCGCTGCATCTGAGCTGGGCCTGGCTCCTCCCCTGTATGTTCTCACAGAATGTTGTGCACCCCATTACACAGAACAGTAATCATAGCTAGGACCTGTTAACACCTCTATGTGCATTAAAATTCATTTCATTTCATAATAACAGTAAGAGGATTATACTTTTATTAGCACTGTTTTACAGATAAGAAAACTGAAGCGTCAAAGTGTAATAGATTGCCCAACATTACACAGCTCTAAAGCATTAAGACCTGGTATTCAGATCCAGGCAGCCCGGCTGCAGAATCTAAGCTCTTCACCACCCCTGCTGCCTTTATCACAATGCAATGATATAATTTGACACCACCTGTCTCTCCCACTAGACAGGGAACCCTTTGAGCCAATGGACAGTGTTTTTTTGTGTGTTTTTTTTCTTTTCTCCTCTGTTTCCAACCCTAGCACTCCTACATGAGCCAAATAACAGGCATTCAGTACATTTTTGGTAAGTGACCTAATGGGTCAATTATAACTGAACCCATAAAGTAAAGAGGTAAATTAGAGTTTCTTTAAAATGCTTTCATTTCTTCCTGTTTATATGTTGATCTCTTCATTTTAATTAGTTAAAGGAGCACTCAAAGTTCAGATAAAAAAAGAGAGTTCTTTGGGCCCCTGAAGATGACACACATTGTTCATGAAGCACCTATTTCCGTCCTGCTACTTTCTACTTCATCTTCCTACCTGAGTTTATAACTCTCACTCAGCTAGAATTAGCTTTTGTGTATGGTTTTTCTTTTAAACTCTGGACAGATTTAGTTTTAAGTCAGACACTGAAGGTTATGCTACATGCAGCTAAAAGAAATAGTCCAGTTTTTGCATAGCTTGTTTTATTTTAAAGTGATTTTCTGCAGTCAACTCCCAGCATCCCTAATTGAGGATTTGGATTTGCCCAAGGTCTGCCTTTCTCTGCAGACATTGACCTTTGTCCTCACCAAGGTTCCTCTTGGATTCTGTCTCCACCCCAGTGTTATAATGACCTCCCCCAGCAAGTGTTTTAGTTGTGGTGCCTCACTCTACACAGTTGCAAAACATATGTCCCTATTTCAGTCTTTTCTGATCACCAAATTCAAATGTAAATTAATCCACGTGTGTCACCTGGTAGGAAGAAGAAAGTTATTTATAAAGGTTAGGGTTTTTTTCTTGCTTTTGTTTTCAAAATAACTGATGCAAGCTTTGAAAATGGATCTCTCTCTACTCTTTTTGAAAACTCTAAGTTTTCCAGTGTTCTGGCAATAATGTATTAAGATAAAGGTCACTGTCTAGTAGTTCTCTCATCTTTTATGTGTACCCAGGCAAAATAGCACTGGACCTACTTTTGAAAAAATAAGGAGTATAAATAATAAATTACAATAGCATTTTCTACAAAAAAAAGTTGATTGGAAATGTAGACCCTGTCAGCTTCTACTCTATGCTTAACTAATTTATGCTGAGTTTCCCAAAGGGTAA